GGATTTCGGATCGAGACCTTGGTTCGACGAAAAGTAGAATCTTAATTCGATGACCATGACGTAAAGGGGTCCTCAAACAATCACTGTACACTATCAATACATTACTGTCCATAAATATTGAATATACGAGGAAGATGTGGTTTATCAGTAAATGTTGACATTTGTCCCAAATTGTACCTAACAAATTTTTTTTAATTTGTTCTACATTTTGACATGTAGTCCTATCAAACTGTAGTGGCAAGTGCTACTTCTTGGTCCCAAAGTTTATAATCATGACTATGAATAAATTCTTGACACACACGTTCATGTAGCAATAAAAAATAGCATACCAAAAAACTAAATGTGTTTCTTGAAAAAATAATATATTTTGACATGTAGTCCTATCAAACTGTAGTGGCAAATGCTATTTCTTGGTCCTGAAATTTATAGTCATGATTATGAATGATCTCTTGACACACACGTTCATGTAGCAATAAAAAATAGCATACTAAAAAACTGAATGTGTTTCCTCAAAAAATAATGCAACATAAAAGATCATCACATTTCTAGTAAAATGTAGTAAAATTTGTCTTTGTTATAAGTAAGGTGAATATGTATGAAGGAGGACACCCCGTATATTGGTCATCCGAGACGCAGCGATTGAAATAAAGACAAACGAGATTAATCGGCGGATCGATACGGCCCTGTCCCGGCATCAGGTTCGCGTGCATTGTTATTAGCGACAGTCGCGAGCCGCGGCAAAAGGCGAGAACAAGTTCTTCCCCGAGACGCAACGCCTCTCGCCACGCCGTTAATGTTGGGAAATCCCCATTCATTGGGTCCCATCGTGCGGTCGAAAGTCATCTTTCGAGAATTTACGGAGGTGTAGCGTTACAAAAGCGTTTATGCAGCTTCCACTCGAAACAATGCACGTGCTCTCGATCGAGCGCCGGCTATTTTGAATACTTTCCCACACGCTCCGGTTAAAAATCCGTTTAAAACGGGAGAGAAGCCCGAACACGTCCACGCGTTACGTCTATGATTCACCGAGAGCTCTGGTGGATAGAGAAAGACTCATTATCGTCGAACGAGCATCAAGTTAACGTGACTCCGCGAAATAATCGCGGCCGCGCGTTAACGCGAAATCAGCCGTTCCGATCGTGAGACGCGAGAAGAGAGAAGAGAGCAGCGAGACCGTTTCTGTGATGCCATTTCAAGCAAACCCGGTAGGATCACCTTGATCCCTGAAATGTTAGGTTCAACGTCTTCTGCATAAACTATCTGTCTCCATCAGCCGGAGAAAGAGGCTCGCGGGCCTACTCGACCC